ATAGAGGTACAATTTGTAATAGCTAAATCTTGGACACAGCCCAAAAGGGTTTTTTATACAATGGACTACTACTATGCCACAAAGAAGGATAAGCTTCAGACATTTCTAGCTAAATGGATGCACACTGAGGTGATACTCTTAAGTGAAATAAATAGGACACACATGGGTCAATACCACATTGTCTCTCTGGTGTGAGAAACCGAAAGTGGAAATAAGGACCAAAATGTATAGTAGATATTGGGAAATGGGAAGAAAATGTTCAAATGAGAAAGGGAACAAGGGAAGGGAGAGGCAGAAAGGAAAGAAAGGACAAGAAAAAAAAAGAGAATAGAAAAAATGGAAACAAAGCTTTTGTAAATAAGGAGGGGAAAAGGGGTTGAAGGGGGTATGGGAACAAAAGAAGCAAGATATATCATGTACGGGTACAAATTCCCTAAGATGAATGTGATCATTTTGTATATCTAAAATGCAGCGATAAACATTTTGCTTCCAAAATAAATAAATAAAACAAAGCGAAAAACAACACTAACAGTCAAGGTCTCTGAGGTATTTGCTAATGTAAGTATGTCAGTATTCTCTCAGGGAGCTGACCTTGGTGGGAGTATTAGTTCTTTCTAATGTCAAAGGGGAGAACATGTTTAAATTGCTTTTCTACCAGTGTACTTTTAAAAATCAAGATTACTGTTTGAGGAATAAATTTACCTCCACAAATGGTATGTTCTCAAACAGAAGTGAAATTCCAAACTAATCGGAAGATAAGCAAGGGAAGGAGGTTAAAGGTTAATTTATCTGTAATTCCTCCATCTAAGAGCATGGTGCCCCACACCTGTAATCCCACCACTCAGATGGCTGAGGCAGGAAGATCACCGTGAGTTCGAAGCCAGCCAGGGTTTTCAGTGGGTTCAAGGCCAGCCTAGACTACATAATGAGACCTCATCTCAATAAATAACTAAATAAATAAGTGAAAATCCTCTCCTAAGCCCTACCAACCCTTTTTTTTTTTTAATGTTCTGCCCAACCTTCTAGTTTCAATCCACGGATTTATCCACTTACATAAACTTGATGACTTAGGAAAGCCAATGAATTTCTGAAGACCTTCCTTCACTTGAGCCATGCCCTGGTGTCCCAAACCTCGGTGTTCAACCCTAAGCTTCGCAGCGTCTATCCTGTGGCCCTGCCTCACTTCTCTGGACAGGACCACGAGAAAGAACAAGGTTTTGACTCAAACACACAAGGCTCCCTGGTGACATCCCCAGCACACTGTCAGGCAGAGCTCTGTCACCCCTTAAAGGTGAAACACTCCTGAAGCAGAATGCCACAAAACTGCACAGTAAATTCTAATCATTTAAATTTCTTTATACTTTGTGTTTTTCTTTTTTGGGGAAATGGTCTTTTTTAAACACTGTATTTTCTTGTGTACAGTTTTAAAAAATCTTTTTATTTTGTTTTTGTTTGCTTGTTTATTTTTGTTTGTTTGGGGTTTTTTTTTTTTTTTTCTTCTTTTTGGTACCAGGGAGCGAACTCGGGACCTTGCATTTGTGAGGCAGGTGGTGGAACCACTGAGCTAAATGCCTGGCCCTGTTTGTTTATTTTTGAGACAGGGTCTCCCTGTGTAGTTCAGGCTGGCCTGGCCTCAAAGTTTCAGTGATCCTCCTGCCTCAGCCTCTCAAGTACTGGGATTACAGGCGTGCACCACCATGCACTCCAGGCTTAAGCACAAATTTTAACTGTACAATTTGATGAGTTTTAAAAAATGCATATGCCCACTTAACTCTTATCTACACTGATATACAAAACACTTCCATCACTTCCAGAGTTCCTTCTGCTCCTTCCCAGTCTCTCCAATTGCCATGCCTGGGAATAACTGCTTTTTCAAATATTTTTCACATATTTGCCTGTTCTAGCATTTCAGATACATGGACTCATACTGTACAAGGCACTGTCTTCTTTAAGTAGTATACCATTTTGCATTCCCATGAGCAATCTTTGAGATTTCCAATTGTTCTCTATATTCATCAACGGTTATTACTGTCAGTCTTCTTAATTTTACCCATTCTATTTGGTGTAGGGGCATCTCCTATTTTTATTTGCATTTCCCCAGTGAATAACGGTGATGAATACTTTTTCATGTGTTTCTCGGCTAGTCACATGTCTTTCTTTGTGAAGTATTTGTTCAGTGCTATTGCCAACTTTTAAATTCAGTTGTTTTTTCATTAATACATTCTTTATAAATGGAGTCCAGTGACCATAGGGTGAATCCTCCAAAGCCATGCGCCAAAATAAACATTTCCTCCTGAAAGTTGATTTTCTCAGAAGTTTTTGTCACTAAATATACTCAGAAAGCTGATGAACACACTGCTAATGAGACTATAGATTTTATTCTGATTTCACCAGATTTTCCACAATGTCCTTTTTCTGTTCCAGGAACGCAGAGATTACCATCCAGCCTAGAATGCCACTTGGAAATTGTTGTTATTTCTCTATGTCAATCTGTGACATTTCCTCAGTTTGTCCTTGCCTCCCTGACTCTGACCCTTCTGAACAATACTGATTATTTTGTGGACTGTCTGTTAATTTGGCTTTTCTTAATGTTTTATCATAATTAATTGAGGTCATGGATTTTAGTAGAAATACGAAAGACGACGTGATATGTCCCGCTGAGTGCATTGTATCAAGGGTTACATGATGTCACCATGCTTCTTACTGATTGATGGTAAGGGACGGTGAGACAGAACAACAGGTAAATAACTGATGGGTCAACAACAGGTCCCCTTTTTGTTAAAGATTAAAGCAGAGGAGATTTTGTTAAGCCTCTGAAAGTGCTGTGTTTGAGATACTGGCAGTTACCATCCTCACCTGATTTCTCAAAAGGCTGGACAACAATTTAGTCTCAGTTTGATGATGTGGAGTCTTAGCATGAGTGACTCCATGTTGATTTTTAATCTAGTCTGCTGGAGCTATTGCAGAAATGAGTCACAAACAATGGCCTCCTATAATTTTTATTTAACAGCTCTCAACTCCCGCCTTCTAAGCGTAGACAGAGAAGAAAAACTGTAACGTTTTAGGCAGAGAGATGTTAAATTACTTAAAAGCATGAATACATGTACAGGTCATCTTAAAGCAGAGCTGGTAGCATGACTGCTTTTGTTTCAACAAATCTTTTAAAGTTTCAAAGCCTATATCTTTATGAGTAAGCCCTCATTCCACCTTGAAACTGAACCTCTCTTTGGTCATATTTCTCTGCTATTAATGTTCTAGGTCAACTCATTTGACCCTGAAGTCTTAGATGACTTCAGGAGAGACTTCCTGTCTCTTCTTTCTCCTACCCTGTGTCCACACATGCCTCCATCTAAGAAAATATGACTGCTTTGCCAATTGCCTTTTCTAAGGCATGCATGCATATAACTTACTTCCCACTGAAGACTAGGAGTTGGAAAACCTTGATCCTAATTTGGATTCAGTCACTGACTGGCTGGGTAAGTTCGAACAAGTCATTCAACTCCTTGGAAAATATTCTTGCGTATATGGGGTGTGTGTGTGTGTGCCTGTGTGTGTGTGTGTTTATAGAGGAGGGTGGTGATGATAGCTGGAGATTAGGGACAGCTTTTTATTAAAGAGTTGCCAAAAAGGGAAGACCAGTTGCTGGAGAACATGAGTAATTTAAGGCAAGAAGTATAAGTTGTTTATTTGCATCAAGTTTGTGCAAAAAGAAAGCAGAGATAGGAGGAAAGATGAGCAAGACAGAAGGTGAGTGATGGAAAAGAAGAGAGAGTGGGAAAGGCCACATTTGCTGGCTGGTAATGGTGACTTATTTTGATGAGAGCCAACTAAGACAAGGCGCTGTGGGAAGTGGTGAACCCGGCTCTTTCCATTTAAGTGTCCTAGGTGTCCCAAGATGCACATTATCCACTCTTATGTTCACAGAGGAGTGGGACCAGCTGCAGAGAGGTCAGATAACTTGACTGTGGTCACACTGCTGCACGAGTACAGTCAGGATTTGACAGGGGAAATTTGACTCTACAATCCATGGTCTTATCCCCTGCCCTCTCCTGCCCTTAATGAAGTACTGGGGCTGAAGAAACACGTGTACAGTGATGTATACAGGTGTGTGCATGGCATGTGTATGTGTGTGGGGTCTTTTTGATACTGTGATATAAAAAGAAATAAATATTTGATCTTTGTCCCCCATTCCTGGCACAGAGCTCAAAACGCCCTGAGTGATTGGGTAGAAGGAGTTTCTTTTTTATTCATAGCAAGCCCCTTTCATAGCTCAGTTCACACTAAGTAGGTGATTCTTGAAGAATGGGGCTGGTTGAAAGAAGAACCAACTTGGAGTTAGAGGAATGGAACTCTCAGCCCTGCCCTTCTCCTTTCAGGGAGCGGAGGTGGTGAGGGTTTGAGTGGAGTCTCATGGCCAGTGATTTAATCCTGCGTGCCTATGTAATCCACGGGCTTCTGAGAACTTCTGTTTTCTGAACGCATCAAATGTCCCAAGAGGGAAATGGACCTGAGGAGGGACTGGAAGCTCCCCGGCCCTTCCCAATACCTTGCCCTGTGCATCTTGATACGGGGAAACCCTAAATAAATCCTCCAGCTTCCATTGCTATCATATCCAGTTCCTTAGGCCACACAGCTCAGTACTTCACTCCCATCAGCTTTGCTAAGCACACAACACCCCTGATATTGCTATGGCGATAGTTACCCACAGTTTTTCAGGAACTTGGAGGCTGCTTTTGCCTACCTCACACCCATTGAAACAACTGACCCTTCATTTGGGCCAGTGCAGGCATCCGTGGCTGACCTTTCGACAGAAGAAGGTGGAAACGACCATCCACGCAGCAGATGAACACCGCATTTTCGGAACTTCCTCCTATGAGGACGCATGCACCGCCCACAGAATACGCATGCGCAGACCACAGCACGCCACTTTCCCGCCAATCACCTTTCCCCGCGCCTCACCCCACCTTGTTTTTTTACCCCTTACACCACCACCACCACCCCCAACGCTCCCTCTGGGAGGCACGTTTGAGACCTGGAGCTCCTGTCTCTTCGTACTTGTCCACCTGGTGAATAAACTCGTTCTCTTCTGCAAAGGTCGTCATTTCAATGATTGGCGGCCCCTGCAGCAGGCAAAACAGGCTGGCTTGTTAACAGTGGCTTCCATTTGGTTCGCTTTGGGTGGATTCCTTTTCTGACAAACAGGTAATCTATCTAGTAAGTTAACTGCTTTCATGGTTTCTGTGAGCCAGTGTAGCAAATGACCAAACCAGGAGAAGGAGTTATGGGAACCTCTACTGTGTAGAAGATGCATCAGAAGATTGACAGTGGACTTTGTAATTGGCACTTGAAGTGTGTTTATGTGTGTGTGTTCAAGGGGTATGGGGGACAGGCCTTTAACCCATAGGCTCTGTGACAACTCTGAGCAGTTGGCTTCAGAATGGAGCTAAGTTGCAGTGCCTGTGAAAACAGGAAATGGCTTGGTGTGAAAAAACATAAGCCACACATCTGTTGTCAGAAGTGGAGAGAGCAGAGGGAACAGTTTTCTTCACTTTTCCAGCTCACCTTTCACATGCTTTTAGAAACCCCAAAGCACACTCTTCCCCTCTAGTGAATTAAGCCTCCTCAGAGAGCTCCCTGCACTACAGCAGCTGGTCCAAACCAGCAGGCCTCACATCTCCTAGGTAGGCCGTCCATGGGGTCAACACCTAGCTTCACTCTGGCAGTATGGACCTGAATCAAAAACCCTAGAAAGCAGGGATGTGGCTGAAGACCTCGGAAATCTGTGTATGTTGACTTCCCAACTCCCAAAGGCTAAATTCTAGTGTTATCAGATGGGATAGGGACCAGCTATGTTTTCCAGGTTATTTGTGCCGATCAATGAATTGGTCAGATGTGAAAGATTACCTTTTCTTTTAGGGCAGAAATAAGAAGAAAAGGAGAAGAAGCACCAAAGAGGCACTCAGGGAGAAAGGGGTACTTTGAAGGAAAAAGAGAAGATACATCCTGCAAACAGAAAGGACCACCGAAAGAACAAGAGGGCAGTGGCCCCAAAGTCACTTGCTTCTGTTCTTTTATGTCTTCTTTGACAGCTGGGGCTCCGCTCACATTTAGTCCTGCTCATTGCAACATTCGGAGTGCTCTTCTTGATGGTGTCCGAGGATCTTACACGAGCAGGTATATAACTTAGAGGCAGCCCCTGCAGAAACTCAGGGTCTGCCTCCCACTCTGTGTCAGCCAAGCGCTGGGTGGACCCTTGTGCCCTGTTTCCCAAGAGCTCAGTCCTGTGGGATCTTGGCCCAGATCAACAGTGTCTTTGGTCTGAGCAAAAACAGCTGCCTGGTTGGTTCTTGAGGGCCTAGGTAAAAGCTGGGCCCTGTACTCCACTGGGGCAGTGGGCGGTTCGGATTGTAATTAATTGGTTCTGTGTACATGAGAAGTTACAAGCTCGGGGCCAGCATCACTCAATTTCTGTCTTCAGACACTGAATCTGAGCCAGGGCATTGCTGGTTGCCTAATAGCACCACCGATTGCCTCAGTGTACGTCAAGGGCACTGTCGAGCTTTTGTTTTATTAAATTGTCATGTATTAAAGGCAAAAAAGTGATTGTTATTTTTGTTGGTTTTGTTTTGGTTTTTTTGCAGTTCGGAGGATCAAACTCAGGACCTTGCACTTGCGGGGCAGGCACAGGGCCACTGAGCTAAATCCCCAGCCCAAAAAGTGATTGTTATTTCCAGCGCTTTATCACTCTCTTTCTCGTACTGGGGATTAAACCTAGGGCCTTTGCCCTGAGCTGTATCACTAGCCCATGTTTTATTTTTCTTTTGAGACAGGGTCTCATTAAGTCATTAAGTTGCCAAAGCTGAACTCAAACTTGCACTCCTGCCTCAGCCTCCCAGAGTGCTGGGATCGAAGACCTAGGCAGGCACCTTTCATGAGGTCTTCCCACCCAGTTTCTGTCCTTCCCTGGAGAGACAATTTGGAGCTGCACTGGAAAGCCACGCTCTCACTGTCAGCTCTGCTTGTTTTGGAGTTTTACCAAGAAGAGGCCAGACAATTGGCTGACTTGCAGGCTGAGCATGTCAGCACACCCCTGACCTCTCTTCCGGCCAAGCAGCTCTGATAAGTGGGCCGGCCTTCTGCCTGGAGATTCGCAGGCACACTTGGATGCTTCCTTCAGAAACCAGTGAAGCAATCTCCTCCCCAGGCTCAGGACCCACATTCCGGATGTGAACTGCTGGCCAGAGCCTGGCTTCCTAGTGCCACGGCCATGACCAACAGGACCAACACATCCGCTCCGTACTACAGCTATGAATACTACTTGGACTACCTGGACCTCATTCCCGTGGATGAAAAGAAGCTGAAAGCCAACAAATGTAAGTTGGGCCTGGGGAAACCAGCCAGGCAGAGGCTGGGGGGCTGGCCCAAGTAACCGTGGGCTCCCAGCTTTTCCTTATTCACTTATAACAGTAGATGTCACAGGTAAGCCATGGTGTGACCAGTGTACACCTTCATAGAAATGAATGGGGCTCGGGGTCAGACAGGGGTCTGTAATCTCTGTGATATTCTGTAAATTCACCTGCTGTGAAACTAAGCAGAATATTCATTTAAGATAGGTTTCTTGATGAAGTTTCATTTATTTGGGGCTCCAGTATTCCCAGTGAGTTTCTTGAAATTGCTAGGTTTGCTTTTTAATTTGGGACAGGTGTTCTCTCTACCTGTAAGACATACAGACGTAACTTCTACTAAAATGCCGACAAATGTTTTATCTTCAGGGAGGATAAACACGAGTTAACATCTGCCCTCGAATTCCTTGTCTCTTGAGTAACTTGGAACCTGGCAGCCTTCACTGTCCAGCCGCTCAGTTGAGATGACAAGTCAGCCGAAGAAACGGTCATGAAAAATACTGTAAAAGCCAGAAATAGTGCTCTTGGCACAAGAAATCCTCTCTCTCTCTCTCTCTCTCTCTCTCTCTCTCTCTCTCTCTCTCTCTCTCTCTCTCTCTCTCTCTCTCTCTCTCTCTCTCTCTCTCTCTCTCTCTCTCGTTCTCTCTCTCTCTGTCTCTCTCTGTCTGTCTCTCTTTCTCTCTCTTTCTCTCTCTGTCTTGGGTTCTTTGGGTATTTCCTCACTATAATCCCATAATATGCCCATCAAAGGGTAAAATAAGTCACTAGAAAGGATAGGATGCTTTTCACATGGAAGAAAGTCTGTTACACGCTAGCTTTAAACTGAAATACCTTTGAATGCTGCTAATTAAGATATTAAGAACCCCTGGGGACAGCCTTCTAAAATACAAAGAGTGGTCAAAATATACAGTGAATGTTTAAACGTTTAAAATACATGGAAAGGCACATTGCTTTAATCCCCTCCGAATACTGCCCCCTTCTTTGAACTCATGTATCCTATCATTGTTGCCACTTTTGAAGCAGCTTTGGAAGTTGTCTTTTGCGTCTTTGGGAGGTATGGTCAAAAACACAGTGAATGCTGCTGCCAAATGCCATCCAGGGGAAAGGCAGGCTTTTAAGAACATTACGGTCTGTCCTCATCCACCTTATTTACCTGTTCTGCTGCCATGTGACTTTGACTCTTTTTCAAAGTCAAAATGACCCGGAAAGGTACATGTTTTGTTATCAATTCAGGACATATGAGGCAGTCATGACAATGCAACTAAAGACACTCAAGAAAGAGGACTCCAGAGCTGCTTCAAGGAGTGGGGGAGAAGGGTGGAATGAGTGTGTTTGAAGCAGGAAGAAGTATTTTGAGGGAGATTAATGGAAATGTATCTTTTACTATCATATATATTTTTAAATTTTACTAAGATCTTGCCTTTTTTGCTGAATGCAAACACATATACACATACATGTACTACTGTAATATATTTTTTAAAAAATTTTAACTCCCTTGTTTTTCGATCACACTTAGTTTCTTGTTAGGTAGAGTTCCAGTTGCAAGTTCCACGCACAACTTCCAGAAGTCAAAAACCTATGCCCATCTGTGTTTGGTGAGGACTGTCCCAAGCACCGTACAAAAGCTTTTGGAGGGACATGATGTTTAGTGTGTGTTTTCTGATGGAAGGCAGAAAATCATGGAATGAGAATGCAGATTTTTGTGCACACAGCTCACTAAAGAAGACAGTAGTCATAAGGAGACTGTGGCAGGATTGAAATAAATGTCCACTTATTAATACTGTCAAAAATTCAGAGCTTCATGATGCATGTTGACCAGTAGAAAATGTAGGCTTGTGTTCAGAAAAGCCTTTTTTAAGTTAACACAAATGAAGTAAAACTCTGGGTGAACTTAGGCACTTTAGACACTGCCACCTTCTTGGGTGCCAGATACCCCATTTGGTTAGCACCTGGGTTCCAAAGCTTCTTGCCACTTTTGGGGGGGCGGGTTTCTTAACCACCTTAGAACTCCGAAGCTCAACCTTCTGCCCCACCCCCACAAACAGCTTCCGCCTCAGAGAAAAGGGGTTGATGTTCTCTAAGCCGTGTGTTAGGTTTAAAAAGATGTTCTTTCCTTATGAATTTACAGCCTGTTGAAATAAGAAAATCCTCCCCAAGCCCCCAAGCTTGATAAAGACCATCTTGGTGAGGAAACGGAGGCCAGGGAGAGGCCAGTCCCTGGATCCCCCTTATGGAGATGGAACAGCTACTGATATTTTAATAGAAGTCATTCAAATTATGTATCTCAGGGGACAGATGTAATAACTCGGTCCCAGATCTGCACACCAACAGTGGAAAATGTGGCGTCTATAAGGAACGTTACCCAGCTTATTGGAGACTCAAGCAAATTTGACTTTATCAAGAAATCTGTCTTTAGAAAAATGTTTTGCTTCAGAAGTGCTGTAGTTTCTCAGGAGGTTCATTCCAATGAAGGATAACAGATAGCATTTACCCTGTGCTCCTAGATATCGGGGGTCTTTGGCACCCACAGTGAGAGATGTCATTCCAGAAATATTCCTACATACATCCTGCGTGTCCTGGTCTTTGCATCTTATCTGAATTTAATCTCTCTCTTTTTTTTTTTTTTTGGTAAAAGAGGGGTTTTGGTGCTTGACAGAAATACTCCTCAAAAGAGAGTTTAAATCCTGAATAGGTAGTTTTCAAGTTTGGGGGCAATAGAGCAGAGGACAGGGGTCACAGGGGCAAGGCGCGTGGACTCTGAGTCAGTGTGCTGTAATCTGTGTCTCAGCCCTGTCACTTACTAGCTGTGCGGCCTTGGGCAGTTACGTGACTACGGCTAGCCAGATTCAAGAGGAGAGAATTAGAACCCACCTGTCAATGGAAGAAGTGTTAGAAATTTGAGACCATCTTTGATTTACCATAAGCAAGAAACACGTGGCAGATGGCAACATGTGCCCCAAGAAAAATAAAACCAGATTGGTAGTTAGAGAAATCTGGGGGCCGAGGAAAGACTGCAGCTTTGAACAGGGTGGTGAGTAAAGACTTTCCCAAGGTGATGAGTACAGGTGAGATAAAAGCTTCGGGAAGTGTCAGGAAGGAGCCTTGCAAACAGCAGGAACAGCGAGGACGCCAGGTGGGGAGCCCTAGTGCATGCGAAGAAGAGCAGAGAGGTGGCAGGGACTATTTTCTCATGTGTTTGGAAACCACTCCGAACATATAATTATTGTCTTGAAAATAGAAACTGCTTTATTATTTCAAAAATTTAGTTTTATTCAATAAGAAAAGAACAATAGATATATAAGCTAGGGTAGGAAAAGACAGTAATGGAAGAGGAAACTCCAGTGGCTAAAGAATATGAGAAAATACTCAGCTTCACAAGTATTTAGGGAAGTGAATTGGGATGAGCAATGAGACCTCATTTCATATCCAGTGGACTAGCAAAATTTAAAGATTGATATTCAGAATGTTGGGAGGGAAGGAGAGAAATTAGAACTGTCACACTGCTTGAGGGATGAAAATTACATCCACCATTTTGAAGGCCAGCTTGGCAAGGACTAGAAAAATTGAAGATGTCCACAAAGCATAATTTAGCATCCTCCTTCCAGGTATCCACTTGGTAAAATACTGGAACCTGTTGATGCTCACTGCAGTACTATTTGTGGTGGCCAGAAATTGGGAATGACCAAAAGAATGTAGGATAAATTTTGGATGTTAATGCAACCAATAACACATAGTTTTGTTACAATTCATGAGCTAGATCTGTATGTGCCAATGTAAATAAAGCACTGAAACATAATGAAGGAAAAAAGAGGTAAAATTATATACCCAGTAGATACATAAATTATATATTAATTAAATTATATTAATTTTAATGATTATATTGATTATAATCATAGCTACTTGAATTATAATTTAATTGACTGTAATTAGTTACAGAATTTATATCATTTGTAAGCACAAAAATCCATATTTTATTAGTGGGGATGTACATACACAGTAAGATGTGATTGTACACATCAATTTCAGGTTCAGGATTTTGCCTAGAGGGGGAGATATTCAGATAGAGGAGGGTTCCAACTCTATCTGTAATATTTTATTTCTGCTTTTTAAAGAAAAGTATTTGGATCAAGTACGGCAATTTTTGATGGATCCATAAGTCTTGACATTATTATCTGTAGTTTTCTGTATACTTAGAATGTTTAATAATTCAAAATTGTGAAATATATATTTAGTAAGAGCACACTTACTTGCCAGGAACTGACCCTGCTGATACCTTGATCTTCAACTTCCCACCTTCCAAAGCTGTGAGAAATAAAATTCTGTTATTTAAGCTGTACAGTCTATGGTATTTTTATCCCAGCAGCCCAAACGAAGATTGTACTCAAGTGAGTCATAAACCATTTGCCCTTTTGCAACTGGTTTATTGTACTTGGCCCATCTTGATAACAAGGGCCCTCTTGAGGCAGGCCATTTCACCAGTTTATTGAGCCATGAGTCAGAAAGAAATATATATTTAAACATAAATTGGTTGCAGGCAGCCACTACTGCGAATGTAACCTTGAGGTTGATAGTCTCTTGATACCTGAAACTAACACCCACAGAAGGGTGTGGTAAATCAAGCTGACTGGTCATCCACTGAGGACTATTTGTGGTGGCAGAGGGGATGTGGGGGCCCCGACTCACAGGAACAGTTAAGTAGGCACAGCAGAATGTCCAGAGACTCTGTCACAAAAGTGATGAATGTGGGCCCTGATGAACTGGCCCAGAAGCCAGTGTGGGGCATCTGTGTCGCCATCTTGTCAAAATGCCGGGTTTGTGCTTATGCCCCTCCTCTTGTTTAAAATATGCATGGATCTGACCGCCACTGCTCTCTTGGGCCGTCAGCCAAAGTAAGTCCCGTCTCAGGTTGCCAAACTTCTTGCATGAGCAGCCACTTACCCTCACTTTCCCCTCCTCGGGGCCCCTACAAT